CCAAGCTAAGGATAGTATAAGTGAAAATGTCGCACAAAATTAATTGCAAATGCATTTAGACTGTGACTATATTGGCGCACTTTTCCAATGTTATGTCAATTATAGAAATGTAATTTCGGGTTAAAAAAAATAAAAATTACCCAGGCTAAGCACGGTCTAAGCGCCACTCTGGTACAAATGTTTAGCCAAGTGCGTTTAGACTGTTCATGGAGCGCTTTTCCAATTTTGTGAAAACTATTGAAAAATGTGAAAATGCCGCCAAGCTAAGCACAGCATAAGTGAAAATGTCGCACAAATTATTTGCAAGTGCGTTTAGACTGTGACTATACGGGAGCACTTTTTCAATTTCGTGCAAATTAGGCAACTATTTTTTTTTTGAAATTGAATTCGAAATGGAATGACGATTGTTAATGTTCTGGAGATAAATTGATTTATGATTTACATTTGATTTGCTCAGATATAACAAGATAGCAAAAATAATTAACCTTGCAGTATTTGTTATTAATGTTTAAAATTTCTCGAATATTTCATTACGGTACGGGAAGTTCCAGCAATTTGCCTTAAGGCACGATGCCATGCGCCCCACTAGTTTATTTTATTTCAAAAACTTCAATATATTAGGTTGTCAAATATCTCCCTTCCGCTTTTTTGCTCTTGGTTTATAATACAAAAAGGCGGAAGGGAGATATTTGACAACCTTATATTTGTTATTGAAACGAATTTACAACTGTTTGTTTTTTTTAAGTATAATTTATTTGAATTTTTAATACAATTTTTATTGAACTTCATTGACGTAGACTTTTCCTATCGCTTCGATGCAATTCAAGTCGACGCTGTCGTCGGCTTTGTCGGTCGTTTCGGTTTCTGCTTCGGGTTTGTCTTTGGCGGGAGCAAGTTCCCGAGGGAAGTGCACTTTTGTCCAGGTTCCTGGTTCGGCTTTGACGAGTTTTATCTCGACTTTGGTTCCCAGCATTTGGGCGGTTGTTTTTTCGGCGTCTATTATCTGGAGGAAAAAATATTGATTTACACACTTCGCTTTTTAAATAGAGTCATCAAGGAAAATACCACAAATGTCTAGGTATACTATATATAGTATTTTTACTATGTACTATAATATGTTATTTTATTATATATTCATATTAATTGATGATGGTTGTCAGACCTTTAAGCATTTTCGATTAATGTTCGTCCTAGTTATTATGTGTATTATATTGCTGCTCATTCTTTCAAGTTAAGATTTAAATTTCGACGCTTTTTTATAAATCTCAAGTAGTGCCACTCTAATTGCTTCTAGAACTTATAATTTATTTAATACGAAATATTTTTGATAAACAAGTGCCAACCGTTGCAAAATATTATGTTTAACAGAAGTTGAGCCAAGAAAGTGATGCAAAAAATATAATTATGTAATTTCCTAATTAATAATTCTAATTTAGCATCATTAAAATTGGAGTCTAAACACGCATACAAAAAAAACGTTACATTTTGCAAAGTAATAATAAACTAGTGATGTATGGCATCGTGCCTTGAGGCAAATTGCAGGAACTTATCCCGTATCGTAACGAAATGTTCGAGAAAAAAACTAAATAAATAAAATAATTGTAAACTGAATTACAAAGTTAAAATTATTTATTTAAAGTGTATATGTTAGCTTTGAAACTTTAGTCAAAATTAAAACTGAAATATTATATATTTTCGATATACAAAAAAAAATTGGAAAAAACAAGTTTAAAATAATTTTTTTTTTCCAAGAGCAATTATTTTGTCAAAACAAGCAGAAAGTTTTTTGAATCATTCAAATCGGATGCTTAGTTCTCTCAAAAACTCGATTTGTTCTTTCTGCTTTCTTTGCTCTGTATCTCCGTAACGACTGAACCTGCCTTTGCCAAAAACTAATCAGCACATCTCCCTATCAATACGAATCGAATGGTAAATTAATCATTCTAATCGGTTGATAGATGTTCGCGAAATCGTCGACGAAAAACACACACATTCATTTACTTTTTATGATATGCCAAAACGTTCAGAAACCTTTGAAACTTAAAAATATATAAAAAAAATTCATTTTCGATATATTTGTTATTAGGGGGCATCTATCAATCACGTGATCGATTTTTTCAGGATTTTTGGACCTCCCTCCTCCCCAGCGAATAAAGTGCAGGTAATAGAAATCCAGGTTTTGAGAGAACGGAGCATCCGATTAGATTGATTCATTTACCATTCGATTCCTATTGATAAGGAGATGTGCTGATTAGTTTTTGGCAAAGGCAGGTCCAGCCGTTACGGAGATAAAGAGCAAATCAGATTTGAATGATTCAGAAAAAAATGTACTTGTATTGACCAAATGGAGAAATGATTAAATTTTTGGAAAGACAGGTCCAGCAATTTCGGAGATTCAGTTAAAAAAAATTGAACCGGTGGTGCGTGGCATCGTGCCTTAAGGCAAATTGTTGAAACTTCCCATACCAAAAATTAAAATTTATAAAAAAACTCAATTTTCTTTTTGAACTTTGAAAAAAATCGATTTTTGTCGTTTTTTAATTTTTTTGAGAATAATTAACCTTTTTGAAAAATTTGATTGTTTTTATATTTTGTAATATTTTGGAAATTTTGAACTTTTTGTACACATGTCCAAAGTTTATTTTTGACTGGCGAATGGCATTGTTTTTTACTTTTTTCATTGGATCTCCGAAAGCGCTGGACATGCCTCCGCCAAAAACTAATCAGCACGTCTCCCCATCAATACGAATCGAATGTTTTTTGAATCAACGAAACGAAAAATTATGTCCGCACACACACACAAAATGGATATCAAAAAGCTTACAGAAATTTCAGAATTTTCAAAAAATTCCAAGTTTTCAAAAATATTTTTGAAATATTCTACTTTTTCCATAAAACAAATTTTTCAAAGATATTAAAAAAAAATCCAATTTTTTTTTCTGAGCATTTACATTTTAATTTTTGGAATGCAAAGTTCTAGTAATTTTTCATCTACTAGTTATTTATCATCTTACCCCAAAAAGTTCCATATCCAGCTGGAACGTCGAGTTGTTCTGTTTGGGAAACATCAGTCTGACGATCAACCTTATTGGATTAACTTCGATAACACTATCAGCAGGATTGTACTCTTTCGCATAAATAGCAATAACCACATTAGTCGCAGTCTGGTGCCAATCCCAACGGCACTGGACAGCCGTCTTATCAGTAACCTGGGGGAAAGGAATTAAACACAAATATTAAAAAACACGAATCGTTTATCATTTATCATTGTTACCTTGGAAAAGGAATCATAACTACAGTAGAACTCCAATTATCCGAACTCCGACTATCCGAACTCCAATTATCCGAACTTCGACTATCCGAATCGCCGATTATCCAAATTTCAAAAAAAAAATTGTCCAAAAAAAGTCTAAGTGCGCTATTATTCTTCCAAATAATTCCACCAGCAAAGCCAGTGTAGGCACATTGTTTGTTTTGATTTGACGGAGATGTTTACAAAAGAATGATTTTTATTTCTAAACTTGTACATAAGTACATTTTATTTATATTTAAAACATGTGAAAATGTCATGTTTCTTTCATTTAATTCAATAAGAAAATAGTGCAATATCAAAACGTAACTTTTTATCTCTCCAATGGCAATTTTTTAAAAAAAAACTCCGAATATTTGATTATCCGAATCGGTCCCGGTCAGTGGCGTCGGAACCGTGTGGGCTGTGTGGGCTTGAGCCCACCCATGAATTTTGATGGGGGGGCTCAGCCCACCCATCAATCTCAAAAAATTATATGGGCTATTAATTATAATATCTCTAAAAAAAACGATACCACTGGCTGCCTATCTAAAAAAAAAAAAAAAAAAAAAACGAGCTCACCCATCAAAAATTTGGTTCCGACGCCACTGGTCCCGGTCCCCTTTAATTCGGATAATTGGAGTGCTACTGTACATAAATCGTTTATCATTTGGTTAACAATTGTTACTTCGGAAAAGGAATCATAAATATTAACTAGTTGGTTTGGTATTTTGCCTTGAGGCAAGTTACATGAACTTCCCGATATGTGCAAATAATCGACTTAATCAATGAAAATAAATTAATTTACGAGTGATTAAAAGTATTCCGAGTGTATTTATTATACATAATTAAAAACGAACGAACACGTTAACTCGGAGTATTTTCTAAAAGCAAATCAAACTGAATTTTGACATAAAACTAAAAAACGACTGTACTGATAAGCAAATTGATTAATAACGCAGCGACGATAAAAGGGACTCTACTGACGAGCAAACAGATTATAAAGGACTCTAACGACTAGAAAATATTATATGAACGTAGTAATAATTAAAAAGAACTCTACTGACAAGCAAACTGATACATAAAAAGACTCTAAATACGATCAAATTTTGTAGCAAAGTCGAAGATAGAAAAGGACTCTACTGACAACCAACATGGATCTAAAAAAAAGACTTTAATAAAGATTGGCTGCACTAAAGAGGAATCTACTGACTATAAGGACTCTACTAACGAGCAAACTTAATTTTGAACCAGAAAACAAAAAAGGGACTCTACTGACGAGCAAACTTAATTTTAAACTAAAAGATAAAAATGGGACTCTACTGACGAGCAAACTTGAAATTTTAAACTCAAAAATAAAAAAAGAAACTCTACTGACGATCAAATTAAATTTCAAACTAAAAGATATGAAAAAGGACTGTACTGACGAGCAAATTAAATTTTCAACTAAAATGCAAAAAAAAAGAAGTCTACTGACGAGCAATTTGAATTTCAAACTAAAAGATATGAAAAAGGACTCTACTGACGAGCAAATTAAATTTCAAAGTAAAAGATTTAAAAAAGGACCCTACTGACGAGCAAACTGAATCCAAAAATCTAAGAAAAACGAACTCTACTGACAATCAAAGTTAATAATCAGAATTTAAAAAAGGGACTCTACTGACGAGCAAACTTAAAAATACATGAATCGTTCATCATTTATCATTGTTACCTCTTTGGTCCATTTGTGTTTTCCAAGAGAGCACCCGACTTGGCTCAAAAATGCATTGAAGTCTGTCGTGCGTTTGTTGCAACACGACCAGAATTTTAGGCCTTCGTGGAAAACCGGAGTGCCTGGATGGTGGGTGCATGTTGTGTCATCGGTTTCGGGTCCTTGGTAAGCCGTTTGGCAACCACCGTTTTTGCAAATAGTGCCGACTTCAATAAGACTAGAAATAAAATAATGTAACAGATAGATAGATAGATACTTTATCCAAATTCAATATTTACATTCTTAAGGGGTTACACCACTATAGCAGCCTAAAAAAATGTATTATATAAAACAACTAGCAAACCCGACGAACTCCGTTTCGCCACCAGATGGTTTTGTGGGAAAGATGAAGAAATTTTTTGTTTGTTTTATATTTGAAAAGGAAAAAGTTGATTTTATTACACAACAGTAATGAATTTATTTCGTTTACAAAAATGAAGTGTTTTTTAGTTGAACTGCTCTAAGTAAATGATAGTGAATCCGCAAATTATCCGTTTCATTGAAGTGCTCTTTGGTAAACCACATTTTTTGTTTTTTGGTCTGACGTTAATACAAACAAAGCGAATGGTTTTCCAACTCGTGAACAGGCAACGTATAACTGCTTATGTGAAAAACAATGATTTTCTAAATAATCTATTTGAAATTTATCCCTAAGCGATTGGCCTTGCGACTTGTTATTGCGAACGCAAGGAAATTGCAATCGTTTGAAGTCAAACGGAAGACCAGTCGGAATCATTGGTATGTCACCAAATCGCCAGCAATTTTTAATTGAATGATGAAATTCAGTGCGTGTACATCATTATTCTTTGCGGCAAAAATAGCTCGTTGACTTAACCAAGCATTATTTTGATAATTCCCACTAATGTCATTACTCGAATTTTGAATTACGGTGCGTGAAGTTCCAGCAGCTTGCATTAAGGCACGATGCCGTGCACAACTAATTTTCTTAGCTATAAACCTTGCGGAGCCCGAGACTTTTACCAACGAATGCAAAATTGTCGAAATCGGTTCGTGCGTGAACCCGAGGAGAACCCGACTTATATTTATATATATAGAAGATTAAATTTTAATATGTGCCATTTTTATTTTTAATTAAAATGTATGTATAGGCTTTTCTTTTAAATTACTGAAACATGTAACATATTTACATATTAAAAAGTTTTTCTTCAGTACGCTTTTAATGACGACCGGTTAGTATGACGAGATTTCGGCGTCCCTTCGATGTCATACTAAGCGAAATCTACTTTATTTTAATTATAATCAATATTATATTAATGAAATAGTCAAATGAAATGTATATATAAAATATGAAAACTGTTTTCATAATCTCTCATACCAGGCACCTCTGTCTGACTGAGATATAACAATAATGTATATGTATATATATATATATATATGTGTGTGTGTATATCTTCTATATATATATAAAAATAAGTCGGGTTTTCCTTCTTGAAATAACTCCAGAACGCACGAACCGATTTCGACAATTTTGCATTCGTTGAAAAGCTCTCGGGCTCCGCAAGGTTTATAGCTAAGAAAATTAGTGGTGCATGGCATCGTGCCCTAATGCAAATTGCTGGAACTTCACGCACCGTGATTAAAAATTCGAGTAATGACATCAGTGAGAATTATCAGAATTATGCTTGGTAGAGTCAACGAGCAATTCTTGCCGCAAAGAATAATGATGTACACGCACTGAATTTCACCATTCAATCAAAAATTGCTGGCGATTTAGTGACATACCAATGATTCCGACTGGTCTTCCGTTTGACTTCAAACGATTGCAATATCCAGTTCGCCTTGCGTTCACAATAACAAGTCGCAAGGCCAATCGCTTAGTGTTTCCGGGATAAATTTTAAATAGATTATTTAGAAAATCATTGTTTTTTACATGGGCAGTTATACGTTGCCTGTTCACGAGTTGGAAAGCCATCCGCTTTGTTTGTGTTAACGTCAGACCAAAAAACAAAAAATGTGGTTTACCAAAGAACACTTCAATGAAACGGATAATTTGCGGATTCACTTTCATTTACTTAGAAAAGTTCAACTAAAAAACACTTCATTTTTGTAATCGAAATAAATTCATTACTGTTGTGCAATAAAATCAAATTTTTCCTTATCAAATATAAAACAAACAAGAAATTTCTTCATCTTTCTCACGAAACCATCTGGTGGCGAAACAGAGTTCATCGGGTTTGCTAGTATATATATATATATATATATATATATATATATATATATAATGTTGAAAATGTTTAAATTTGATGTTGAAATGTATGATTGATTTCTTGGAGGGCGTTTTTTACTTGATGTTACGCTCTCCAAGAAATCAATCATATATATATATATATATATATATATATATATATATAAGGTCATAAATAAATATTTACCCGTCCGTTGAAGACTTATCAGGTACCACAATGGTGTGCAGTTGGTTCTTTAACGATTCGCTTATAGTAGGTGCGACTAAGGTTAGGGCCGAATGTATAGAAGGTCTTCTCATGCGTGTTTTTACAATGGGGGCACGCTTTTGCTCGATTATTTTATCGATTTCTTCATTGTTCACGACGGGCTTTACCGGTTCAGGAGGTTTCTGCAAACAAATATACTACAATCAACAAATTTTAACTGACGATACGTTATTAACTTCTCGTAGGGTAGTTATAGAAATGGGCCGAAATTCGAAAATGAAAATTTTTACATTTCTCGACGTTTTGAAGGTTTCTGAACATTTTTAAAGGGCATACCTCAGAATCTAAATGGATGTGTGTGTTATGTCCGCATTTTTAGTATTAAAAAAAGGACTCTACTGACGAGCAAACTAGTCTAGAATTTAAAAAAAGGGACTCTACTGACGAGCAAACTTAATCTAGTATTGTAATAAAAAAGGGACTCTACAAACTACTACTACTAGACTCAGCAAACTTTAAAAAAAAAACTTTACTGATGAGCAAACTAATCTAGAATTAAAAAAAGGGACTCTACTGATGAGCAAACTAGTCTAGAATTAAAAAAGGGTCTCTACTGACAATCATATTTAATCTAGAATTAAAAAGAGACTCTACTGACGAGCAAACTAATCTAGAATTAAAAAAGGACTCTACTGATGAGCAAACAAATCCGTTTCAGTAGAGTTCTTTTTCTAATAAAATTTTAATTTGCTGATGAGTAGAGTCCTTTTTTGTATTGACATTTTAAATTTATTCGTCAGTAGAGTCTCTTTTTGTACTGAAATTTTTATTAGCTCATCATCAGAGTCCTTTTTGTATTAGAATTTTAAATTAGCTTGTCAGTAGAGTCCCTTTTTATTTTGACATTTTAATTTGCTCGTCATTAGAGTCCCTTTTCTCTTAAAATTTTAATTTTATCGTCTTGTACTGTAATGATACAACTTTTTCAATTTTGTGAGAAAACTATTGAAAAATGTGAAAATGCCGCCGAGCTAAGCACAGTATAAGTGAAAGTGTCGCACGGAATTATTTGCAAATGCGTTTAGACTGTGACTATGCGGGAGCACTTTTTCAATTTTGTGTAAGTTAGACAACTATTTTTTTTTTTTTAATTGAGTTCGAAATGAAATGACTATTGTTAATGATAAATTGATTTATGATTTACATTTGATTTGCTCAGATATAACAAGATGATGCAAAAATAATGAAATTTACAGTATTTGTAATAATATATTTGAAAACGTTTAAAATTTCTTGAATATTTCATTACTGTACGGAAAGTTCCAGCAATTTGCCTTAAGGCACGATGCCATACACCACTAGTTATGTATTTATTTACCTCGTTGCTGTGTTTGGACACAGTACATCCTTTAATGTTCAAAAATTCTGTGAAATCGGTGCACTTTTTATTGCAACATGACCATCCTTTGTAGGCATCGTGGAATACTGGTAGACCTGGATGGTGTCTGCAAGAGTCTACAAAATTATAAAATATATATATATATATATATATATATATATATATATTAAATGTTTAATATGAACAAAACAGTCACTTGCCAATGCAAGGAATAGTTGGTGTTTTATATTCAAAAGTTAAAATATAGTTTTAAATATAATATTAAAGAATGTATAGTAATGTAATAAGTAACTGTTTATTGAAATTACACTGAAGATGAGGCACACCATGGTCTCGAAACGTTTGTAATCATAAAATAAAGTTGTGTTAAAAAAATCTGAGTGCTGTTTTGTTCATATTAAACATTTAATATTCGTCCCACTCATATCATAAAATTCTATTATATATATACATATACATATATATATATATATATATATATATATATATATATATATATATATATATAAGTAAAAAAAGCAAATTATGTGTCTATTATCTCCTAACCTTCTTTATTATCCAAAACACTAAATTTCTGTCCACATCCTTTATTATAACAAAGTAAAGTATTGTCGGACATTTCTAAATAATTTATTTACTTTTATTAACAGCTTATTAATACTATTTGATAAGAAATTATTGTAATTATTTATATTTATAAACGGAGCAAATGCAAAATGTCAACTGCTAAGAAAGTGAGGTTAACAATAATAAAGAAATTTCTAGATTTCTGGAGAAGGTTTGGAACTTAGATAATGGTTTGAAAGATAAGATTACAATTTAAAACGATTAATTAATATAAATGAGGCGAGTTTTAATTTTAGAATTTACTATGGTGTAATGGTATATAAATAGATTTTTTTCTTGTTTTAGGTTTAACTAGCTGTAAGTGGAATTCTGTCTTAAGGCAATTAGGGCATCGTGCCTTAAGGCAAATTGCTGGAACTTCCCGTACCAAAAACTATTATTTTTTTAAAAACGATTATCATTTTTGAAAAAAATTTACTTCGAAAAAATAAGATTTTTGACAAACAATTAGACAAAAAATTACTTTTTTTTGAAAAAAAAATTTTTTTAACTTTTTTTTTTAATTTTTTTTTTTTGAAAAAAAATGTTTTCTTTATTTTGACATATTTTGAAAGATCTAAACTTTTTTTCAAAGCAATCGTACTGCTTCAACTGCATAAAGACGAAATATCAAAGCGCGTAAGCGCCGCGTCGCCGTCTAACGCGTAAATATTGGTACGGAACCCATAGGAATGTTAACAAAATTGATACTTATTGCTAAAATCTCTATAAAATATCTGATAATACGATGTACATATGTCTAATGTTCATTTTTGACCGCCAAATGGCATTTCTTTTACTTTTTTTGTTAGATCTCCGAAACCGCTAGACCTGCCTTTATGAAAATTTGATCGGTTCTTCACCTTGTAAATACAAGTAAAAGTTTTTTGAATGATCAAAATCGGACGCTCCGTTCTCTCAAAAACTGAGTTAACGTTTTCGGCACTTTTTGCCCCGTATCTTCGGAACGGCTAGACCTGCCTTCGCCAAAAACTAATCAGCACGTCTCGTTATCAATACGAATCGAATGTTTTTTGAATTATTCAAATCGGTTGATTGGTGTTCCCGAAATCGTCGACGAAAATTTGTATCCGCACATACATACACACGCACACACACACACACACACACACACATACACACACACACATACGTCCATTTTTTCTAAGGTATGCCAAAATATTCAGAAACCTTTGAAACGTCGAGAAATGCAAAAATTTTCATTTTCGATTTTTTTGCGATTACTATAACTTGCCTTACGGGAAGTTAATTATTAAAAAAACTTTGTAAAACTCTGAAAAAATGTAGATTTTTTTGAAAAAATTGAGTTTTTTTAAAAAATTAGATTTTTAACTTTCCGTAGGGCAAGTTATAGTAATCGCAAAAAAATCGGAAATGAATTTTTTTATATATCTTCACGTTTCAAAATCTCCTGAACATTTTGGCATAAGCCAAAACATTTCGTCACGTCTTCGGGCGCACGGATCAACCGATTTGAATGATTCATTTACCATTCGATTTCTATTGATAGGGAGACGTGCTGATTAGTTTTTGGTAAAGGCAGGTCCACTCGTAAGGGAGTTACTGTGCAAAGAGTGCAGAAAATAGAAATCGAGTTTTTGAGAGAACGGAGTATCGGATTTCAATGATTCAAAAAGCATTCAATTTGTAATGATGGGGAGAAGTGGTTATTAGTTTTTGGCCAAGGCAGGTCTACCCGTTTTGGAGATACATAGCTAAATGTGCTAAAAATGGCAGGTTTTGAGTGAGTCCGATTTGAATGATCTAGAAAACTTTATGCTTGTATTGACAAAATAATTGATTTTTTGCAAAAAAAAAATTGTATAATGAAAATAATTCAGATTTTAATTTTAATTTTGTTTTAAAGCTTACTTATATACTTTAAATAATTAATTTTAACTGTGCAATTCAGTTATATAATTTTTATAAATTTCTCAATTTTCTTAATAATTCTTATAAACTCTCATTGGCATCATAATATTTGCAATTTTTAATGCTTAAAATAAAAATTTGATATCAGTACTAATTCATTATTTTATTTATCAGCATTTACATGAAAGAAAATAATAATGGAAATGATAAATGTAATTTTTAGTGCATATTTTGTTTTCAAATATTTAAATCAAATTTAACAAATATATATTATATTTTATTCACTTGCAATTGTGCCTCTTCAAATGGTGCAAACCCTTAAATTTTCTATCACATATATCGCATTCATAAGCGTACTGATCACTGTGTACCAGCAAGTGTCTTTTCAAAACACACGCATGTCTAAAAGCCATTCCGCATATGCTTCATTTGTGGGGGCGCTCATCAGAGTGAATCAGCAAATGTTTTTTTAGACTAGTTAATTGAACAAAGGTCTTATTGCATATTGTGCATTCATGGGACTCTCTACTGTGAATGGGCAAATGTCTCTTTAGGGAATTTAAATAGTTGAATGCCTTATTGCATATTGTGCATTTGTGGGGACGTACTTTATTGTGAATAAGCAAATGACTTTTCAGATTACTTAGTGTTGTGAATGTCTTGTCGCATATCGTGCATTCATGGGGTCGTACTCCACTGTGAATCATCATGTGAGAGTTAAAATTACTTAAATATATGAATACTTTATTGCATATATCGCATTCATAAGCGTACTGATCACTGTGTACCAGCAAGTGTCTTTTCAAAACACACGAATGTCTAAAAGCCATCCCGCATATGCTGCATTTGTGGGGGCGCTCATCAGAGTGTCTCAGCAAATGTTTTTTCAGATTAGTTAGTCGTAAGAAGATCTTATTGCATATTATGCATTCATGGGACTCTCTACTGTGAATGGGCAAATGTCTCTTCAAGGAATTTAAATAGTTGAATGCCTTATTGCATATTGTGCATTTGTGGGGACGTACTTTATTGTGAATAAGCAAATGACTTTTCAGATTACTTAGTGTTGTGAATGTCTTGTCGCATATTGTGCATTCATGGGGTCGTACTCCACTGTGAATCATCATGTGAGATTTAAAATTACACAAATATGTAAATGTTTTATTGCATATATTGCATTTAAGTTTGCGACGTTCTCCAGAATGCATTGCTTTCATGTGTCTGGTCAAACCATTTGATTGTTTGTACGTCTTGTGACAGATTTTGCATGTGATAGGACTTTCTTTGTTAGGACTTGGCAGACGTTCGACCACAACTAAACATTCTTTTAGACCAAGTGATTCGGTAAATGATCCATTAGAAATATCACAATCGATTGACTCCTGTTTGACTTCTTTTTCAACGGTCACTTCAGACTTTATGAATCTTTCTAAACGTATTCCATCATCTTCAATATTAGAACATGATTCATATTTAATAATACCATCATCGAGGACAACTAATTTTTCCTCAACTTCGAGTTCATCGTCTTCTGGTGGTTCTGTTTTAATTATCTGATCATTCACATACTTAACTGCTTCTTCAGACATTTTAAAATAATTTAATTGCTTCTACTCACGAAATAGTTGTAGACTAAATAGTTAAATGACTTAATCGCCAAACTCTTTCAAAATTAACATGTGCAAACATATTATACTTCATTTATTTATTTGTTTTTGTCCAACGGTTTGAATTTATATTTGACATTTGAGGCATAGAGCATATTTCTAGAAAGATGAGACATTTATCAATTCTAAAAAAATGGCGCGTCTTTTCAAAATCATTGTAGTATGTCTCAACTTCAACAAAAATTATTAAACTTATATTATTAAATAATAACTAGTGGTGTATGGCGTCGTGCTTTCAGGCAAATTACTGGGACTTTCCGTACCAAAATTAAATATTTGTGGAAAAAAATTAATGATCAATAAATATTGATCAATGATTAATAACGGATCAACCGATTTGAATAATTTAAAAAAACATTCGATTCGTATTGATAAGGAGACGTGCTGATTAGTTTTTGGCGAAAGGAGGCCTAGCCGTTTCGAAGATACGTAGCAAAAAGTGCCAAAAACAACAAAGCGTCAGATTTTAATGATTCAAAAATATTTTACTTGTAATGATGAAATGAATAATTGATGAGATTGTTGGTAAGGCAGGCCCAACGGTTTTGAAGATACAAAGGAAAAAGTAAAAAAAATGATAATTGGTGGTCAAAAATTAACATTTACCAAGATTTCCGTGTCAAGATTTTTAACTTTTAAAGTTTACTTATGCGGTTCAAACAAATTTCAAAATTTTCAGATTTTTTTCTCAAAATTTTCAAAAATTTATATATATAAAAAATATATGAGTTTTAAATTTACAATTCAGTTTAAAAATGTATATATTTCATATGCGTTATTCTAATCGTAAGAAATATATCCTCATATGGATTCATTCGGCATCTCTTGTTAATGTAAACATTTTCAAGTAATCAAAGTTTTCAGAGTTCAAATCATAGTTACAAATGTATGTAATATTTTATATGCGTTATTCTAATCGTAAGAAATATATCCTCAGATGAATTCATTCGGCATCTCTTGTTAATGTAAACATTTTTAAGTGTTTTGAGCGATAAAATCGTCACTATGTATTATATGAGCAAATAAATATATAGTAATATAAATTTTGTCTTTGAAAATATTTAAAATAATTGTAATTAATCATTGATTAGTTATTGTTATTATTTGTTTTTCTCGAATATTTAATTCTGGTACGAAAAGTACCAGCAATTTGCCTTAAGGCACGATGCCATACACCACTAGTAATTGTCTTAGATGATATTTATTATTATTAGTTTATTTAATAATAAAAACATTTGTTGAGAGTGAGACATAGACAACTATAACGATTTTGAAAAGACGCGCCCATTATGTTTACTATGGACGACGCGCCATTTGTAAAAACTATCAAAGCAAAAATGTCTCATCTTTCTAGAAATATGCTCTATGCCTCAAATGTCAAATATAAATTCAAACCGTTGGACAAAGACAAATAAATAAATGAAGTATAATATGTTTGCACATGATAATTTTGAAAGAGTTTGGCGATTAAGTCATTTAACTATTTAGTCTACAACTATTTCGTGAGTAGAAGCAATTAAATTGTTTTAAAATGTCTGAAGAAGCAGTTAAGTATGTGAATGATCAGATAATCAAAACAGAACCACCAGAAGACGTTGAACTCGAAGTTGAGGAAAAATTAGTTGTCCTCGACAATGAGATTATTAAATATGAATCATGTTCTAATATTGAAGGTGATGGAATACGTTTAGAAAGATTCATAAAGTCTGAAGTGATCAATGAAGAAGAAGTGAAACAAGAGCTAATCAATTATGACATTTCTAATGGATCATTCCCAAAATCGTTTGGTCTAAAAGAATGTTTAGTTGTGGTCGAACGTCTGCCAAGTCCTAACAAAGAAAGTCCTATCACATGCAAAATCTGTCACAAGACGTGCAAACAATCAAATGGTTTGACCAGACACATGAAAGCAATGCATTCTGGAGAACGTCGTGAATTTAAATGCAATATATGCAAAAAAACATTCACATATTTATGTCATTTTAACTCTCACATGATGATTCACAGTGGAGTACGACCCCATGAATGCACAATATGCGACAAGACATTCACAACACTAAGTAATCTAAACAGTCATTTGCTTATTCACAATAAAGTACGTCCCCACAAATGCACAATATGCAATAAGGCATTCAACTATTTAAATTCCCTAAAGAGACATTTGCCCGTTCACAGTAGAGAGTCCCATGAATGCACAATATGCAATAAGATCTTCTTTCGACTAACTAATCTGAAAAAACATTTGCTGATTCACTCTGATGAGCGCCCCCACAAATGCAGCATATGCGGAATGGCTTTTAGACATAGGTGTGTTTTGAAAAGACACTTGCTGGTACACAGTAATAAGTACCCTTATGAATGCGATATATGCAATAAGAAATTTAAGCAATCGCACCATTTGAAGAGGCACAATTGCAAGTGAATAAAATGTAATATATACCGATGTGTTAAAAGTACTTACATGCATCATTTAATTTTTTCATATAAGGTTTGATAAATAAAATAATAAAGAAGTATTCATATCAGATTATTATTTATTATAAATATTAAATATTATGATGTCAAAGACAGTTGTCTTTCAGGTGTTTTAGTGAAGAGAATAGACTTTTTTATATGAGAACAGTAAACAATTATATTACCTACTAATTAAGTGTACTAGAAAATATAAGTTTCTATAAAATTTTCTGTAACCTAACTTTTTGTTCCAACATATTTGGATTTTTGTATATGCTTTCAAAATAGACATATTTAGGTATGATATGGTAAAATTTTAATTTCCTTGTACAAACGGTGCGTCCTGGAGAGCCCCTTGATTTAATGATTGTATAATAAAATGTACGACTCATTGTCACTGCAAGTCTCTATAAAATCTTCTGTATATCAAATTTTTATTCCAACACGTCTCGATTTTAGTTTATGGTTTAATAGTAGACATATCTAAGTATGACATGTTGAAATTTTAAGATTGTTGTACAAACGGTGCGTCCTGGAGAGCCCTTTGAAAAATTGACTATGTACTAAAATGTATAGCAAGTTCTTATAAAATCTTTCTTTGATAACTTCTTGGACCCTGAGCAAGTGTTTCTAAAAACCTCTATAACTCAAAATTTTGTTCCAAAATATTCAAATGTTAGTATATGGTTTCATAGTAGACATGTTTAAGTATGATATGTTAAAATTTCAATGTCCTTGTACAAACGGTGCGTCCTGGAGAGCTCCTTGATTTAATGATTCTCTTCTATGATGTAGGACTCATTGTCAGTGCAAGTTTCTATAAAATCTTCTGTAACTCAAATTTTTGTTCCAAGACATCTTGATTTTAGTATATGCTTTCAAAGTAGACATATTTAGGTATGACATGTTGAAATTTAAAGGTTGTCATACAAACGGTGCGTCCTGGAGAGCCCCTTGATTTAGTAATTGTGTAATAGAATGTATAGCAAGTTCTTATAAGTCCATTCTTTCATAGCTCTTTGGACCCTGAGCAAGTGTTTATAAAAACCTCTATAGCTCAAATTTTTGTTCCAACACATCTCGATTTTAGTATAGGGTTTTATAGTAGATATATTTAAGTATGATATGTTAAAATTTCAAGGTCGTTGTACAAATGGTTGCGTCCTGGAGAGCCCTTTAAAAAAGTGATTTTGTATAGGGTCCGCCAATTACCTTAATTTTTTTTACAAACTACTGAATATTTTCTAAAATTTCTTTTTCTATTTTGAAAGTACAATCCTTTCAGGTTAATAATGAAATTAATTCAGTTAATAATTTAATTCAAAAATGAAGAAAAAAAGCCTCGACTGACCGTTGAAAAAAAAAGTGAAAATGAAAATGAAAAATGTTAGATAGCATACCCTATACTAGAATGTATGACTATTTGTCGGTGCAAGTTTTGATAAAATCTTCTGTAACTCAAATTTTTGTTCCAAGTCATCTTGATTTTAGAATTAGGTTTCAAAGTATGCGTATCTAAGTATTACATATTGAAATTTCAAAGTCGTTATACAAACGATGCGTCCTGCAGAGCTCATTGATTTAGTGATTCTATACTAGAATATATGACTAGGATCGTCGGCGCAAGTTTCTACAAAATCTTTTGTAACTCAAATTTTTGTTCTAACACATCTTTATTTTAGTATATGCTTTCATAGTAGATATATTTAAGTATGATGTGTTAAAATTTCAATGTTCTTGTACAAACGGTGCGTCCTGGAGAGCCCCTTGAAAAAGTGACTATGTACTAGAATGTATGACTCAGTGCAAGTTCTTATAAAATCTTTCTTTCATAACTCCTTGAACCCTGAGCAAGGGTGTAGAAAAACCTCTGTAACTCAAATTTTTGTTCCAACACATCTCGATTTTAGAATAAGATTTTATAGTAGGCATATTTACTTAGGTATGATATGTTAAAATTTCAAGATCATTGTACAAACGGTACGTCCTGGAGAGCTCGTTGATTTAGTGATTGTATACTAGAATGTACGACTCATTGTCAGTGCAAGTTTCTATAAAATCTTTTATAACTCAAATTTTTGTTCTAACACATCTCGATTTTAGTATATGCCTTCAAAGTAGACATATTTAGGTGGGATATATTGAAATTTCAAGGTCGTAAAACAAAAGGTAAAATTGTTTTGATTTTTTTGCTCCGGATGGAAATAGTGACCTGCATCTTTTCCGCTTGTACGTTCGTGGCGCATCGGCAAAATGCTTGTACCCGACATATTATGACATATATTTTAACGAAAAAAATCGAGAAGAATGTTCAAATATAAAACAATAATATCTGAAAGTTTCGTTTCAATTGAATATTTATTGCCTTCCCTAGAATTTTTTCAAAATAAGTGATTTTTTGACCTTACAAGAATTTCCGCCGTCGTCTTTTGCTTTCAGCTCGGGCAAATTGTATGTATTTCCCAATCAGCTACTTAACAACATTAATAATTTTATTATCTTCGTCATGTCGAGTTTTCAGGGTCGAATTGGTCAACTTTGGTGGTGCTCATCGCCATCGACATCGACATCAGAAGTCGTCGAGTTAATTAGAACGTGACGTCCAGTCGGGCGGCGCGAATTCGGATTATCGACGATAAATTAATTAATTAGCCACACAAACACATTTAAATTAATTTACCGGAGGACAAATCATACTTAAATATGTCTACTATGAAACCATATACTAAGACTTGAATATTTTGGAACAAAATTTTGAGTTACAGAGGAGTTTATAAACCCTTGCTCAGGGTCCAAAGAGTTATCAGAAAAAAATTTTGAATCATACATTCTAGTACACAATTACTTTTTCAACGAGCTCTCCAGGACGCACCGTTTGTACAAGGACATTGAAATTTTAACACATCATACCTAAATATGCCTACTATGAAATCATATACTAAAATCTGTATATCTTGAAATAAAAATTTGAGTTACAGAAGATTTTGTGGAAACTTACCCTGACAATTTGCCTTGCATTCTAGTACACAATCACTAAACCAAGGAGCTCTGCAGGACGCACCGTTTGTACAACCAACTTAAAATTTCAACATATAATACGTAAATATGTATACTTTAAAACCATATACTAAAATCAAGATGTGTTGGAACAAAAATTTGAGTTAGAGAAGATTTTATTGAAACTTGTACTGACAATAAGTCGAACACTCTAAACACTAAATCAACGAGCTCTCCAGGACGCACCGTTTGTACAAGGACATTGAAATTTCAACATATAATACCTAAATATGCCTACTATGAAACTATATACTAAAATCAAGATGTGTTGGAACAAAAATTTGAGTTAGAGAAGATTTTATAGAAACTTGCACTAACATGAGTCATACATTCTAGTAACAAATCACTAAACCAAGGAGCTCTCCAGGACGCACCGTTTGCACAAGGACATTGAAATTTCAACATATCATACTTAAATATATCTACTATGAAATCATATACTAACACTTGTATATTTTGGAACAAAAATTTGAGTTATAGAGGTTTTTATAAACACTTGCTCAGGGTCTAAGGAGTTATAAAAAAAGAATTTATAAGAATTTGCTATACATTTTAGTACATGGTCACTCTTTCAAAGGGCTCTCCAGGACGCACCGTTTGTACAAGGACATTAAAATTTTAACACATCATACCTAAATATGCCTACTATGAAACCATATAATACAATTGGTATGTCTTGAAACAAAAATTTGAGTTACAGAAGATTTTATAGAAACTTGCACTGACAATGAAACAAGCATTCTAGTACACAATCGCTAAATCAAGGAGCTCTCCAGGACGTACCGTTTGTACAAGGACATTGAAATTTCAACATATAATACCTAAATATGCCTACTATGAAACTATATACTAAAATCAAGATGTGTTGGAACAAAAATTTGAGTTAGAGAAGATTTTATAGAAACTTGCACTGACGATGAGCCAAGCATAGATAAACAAGCATTCTAGTACACAATCGCTAAACCAAAGGGCTCTCCAGGACGCACCTTTCGTGTTTAATTTCAAGTTTAATTTTTAAATTACATAGTGTAGTACACTACCATATCCTGATACCATGGATTATTAATTTCTTCCAATTTAACACTAAGATTAACTAATTGTAAGTATTATTTACTCTTTTTATTTTTTATTTTTACTCCAATTCAATAGTTTTTAATTTTTAAATTTTATTTTTAGTTTCCACTGAATAAAGGCTAGGATTATAGTCGAAACGTATGGATGTAAGATAAATTTTGAAATAAACAGTTGACTAATATCATCTAAATATATAAATCATCGGTTAACTAAATCAATTACTCCACGTTTCGAAAAGTTCATTTTATACTATTTCAAATTTTGAATTTGGCGCCATGATATTTTCCTTTCCTAGAAATCTCGAGTCGTCATCTCATTGGTCAACACGAACTTCATAAAGTTCGGCCGCCATTTAAATTAAAACATTTTAACGTCATGTTAAGAAATACTTTTTGTTATTGTTAAATTATTAATAATAAATCTAATCTAGTGTTTGTGTAAAGTAATTTGTGTCGGATTAATGGAGATTGAAGGGATTTGTTGTAAAGGTAAGTGATTATCAAGGTTGTCCTTTTATAATTTGTAATTGTTTGGGGATAGAATTGAGGTTATGGTCACAAGTAATTTTAATTAATTTGAAAATTTGCTTTATTTGACTTAAATACGTACATTGATTTTTACATAAAGATACAAATTGTATACACCTATTCTGGGAATATCATTATACTATCATAATATAATATTGTTTGCATATATATATATATATATATATATATATATATATATATATATATATAACAGTAGAATCCGCTTAGTATGACATTCAAGGGACGGCGAAAAATGGTCATACTAAGCGGTCGTCATACTAAGCGTACTGAAAAAAAAAAAATAATTTTG